TCTTACTTTCAATATTGATACATATCTAACCTGCAGATTAGGACGATCACTCCCTCATTTCTAACTGTAACTGGCAAATTTCGCTGGCCCGCTTTTTATCAAGCTCTGGGACAACTCCATGAACCGTGTGAAGTGTGGGATATAAATAAAAAGCCAACTATTCACATGGCCACCTGGCGGGTGTGTTACGTGCTGTGTTCGATATGCATCTAGAACTGGTTGCGATAAAGTTCCTTGAAAGTCGTTGGTATGTGTAAGGTGAGAGGGAGGCACGAGGAGTGGAGGAGAACAGTGGGGAGGGGGAGGTAGCAGAGGATATGTGGGATAGGAATATGCAATAGAAATAGCAAATCTTACTTTTACACACAAAAAAGCTAAAAACGCGCTTATTGCCAACATTTTGTTTACATCATTATGAAATACCTATAGTTCTTATGAAGATTAAATGATAATACGTTTAAATGGAATTGCAGCAACGAAACACGATTCCAACGTATAGGGCAATGTTTGACTTTCTGCTACTTTGACAAACACAACGTCTATCAATATCACTAGAATGAATGATATATCACCCACTTAGCAGGATTTTTCCCGCCATAAGGAATAATCCGCCTTCCTACATTAGAGATATAGTCTTGCTTGTCACTCAATATTTGAAGATTTGCTAGAAACTGAGGAAGGTTATCGTCCAGGACCTCCACAGAATCCTGTTACTCACCTCCTTTACACGGATGACCTTGAACTTATCGTCACGGGAGAATCAACACTGACAAAAAGACCTAACAGATTCTTCTTGAGGAGTCCTTCTCCAATGATGACTTGGATGAGTGAGTGAATGAGTTTACCTTTCAGCAACATTCCAGCAACATCACGGCGGGGGAGACGTGGATGAAGTCGCTGGACTGAAAAGTGAAAGTGAAGGCTCTTTGTTTGCTGTCAGGGATCACTCACAAGAGATTTTGCATCAAAATGTAAATATGAATTGTCGACTGTGTAATGAATTTAAAGAAAATGTCAAAGATCACGTCACTGGATGCCCAAGCACTGGCACAGACACAGTATCTTAAGCGACACGATGACGTGGCTTCATCCTATTTCACCATCTTCGTCATGCTTGTGTTTGTGACTCGGGTGTCCATCCATGGTAAGACCCAGATTATGTAATGATATCATGGAAAGTGACACTTATTTAATTATTTGCAATAGCTCCGTTTACGACCTCAGACGTACCCTAGTGAACTACCTGACCATGGAGTTTTGATTAAGCCAATGAACATATATCATTGAATTGTATGTCCCATTTGACAAGATTCAAGAAACATGGCATATCACGGACTTTGATTAAGAAACGTCACGCTTATATCCCAAGTACCAAGTTGTAAAACCAAGTTTGTGATGAACTTAACCAGCCTGTCTGTGCCAGGATCGATCCTTGCAGCATGATTTTGTATTAATCGACAATTAATTATTATTGCACCATGACTACTCCATAACGCACACTCAAAGCGCTACATTACGTCACCGGCAAATGGATCAGCGACAGTATTTCACTTTCAACTCTCCGGGAAGTATACAAGGTACTATTTTAATAGTATTGAACACATGAAGTGATATCGGTGAATTAGTCATTTCATATGACAAAACAAGTCCATGTTAGATTTCGTAGGAGCATCTAATAATACTGTTTTCTCAGTACTGTTTGTGTTGCACGTGGGTACATTTTGCAAATATATGACAATGAAAAGAAAACACTTGCGGGCAAACATTGATCTCATCGTGATGCATTCATGTGCAGTCGCTGAGCGCGTTCCTCTTTAAAGGTGTCTATCCATGACGGTAATCCATACGGAACGTTTTATTATTGTATAGCTAACGATCCAACAAATATATCAACTTATTCTTTTGGCAGAAGGTTAATGTGTGAACATCTTGTCAATAAATGCACATACTATGCCTCTGCAAGGATAAACATTTCATTGTATATTGTATCATATATTTAACTTCAAAGTGTGTCCTAAGGTACCGTCAATAGACTACTGCATAAAAGAAGAACCTGTTAATGGCGTCGTATTTCCCGGAGGGAAGTAGCTGGAAATAGATTCAATGAACGACATAACACCAGCTTTAGGTGATAGTTGGAGGTCGAGTGAGTTGAACGACTAAATACAACCCCAAGAGTGATATTTGAAAATTGAGTTAATGAACATGATTCAGCCTCTAGAGTGATAGTGAAAAATCGAATCTGGACCAGGCAATCAAGTGATCAACATCATGAGCATCGATATGGGCTAATGGGATACAATGACATGGGCCTGACCACCCGATCCCTTTAGTCAGCATGGGTTGCTGAAGTCGACCATCTCCGACGGACAGAAACCAAAGAGCTAATATGATAGATATGCATAGTTTGTGTTCTGTTTAATCAGCAATATTTCAAGTGTATGACGTCGGACTGTAAATATTCGAGACTGGACAAGACAAACCATTGATTGATATTGTCATCAACATGCCAGGCATTGTAGTACGATGGCACGTAATGAAACCACTTATCGAGCCTGATACAGGTAGCATGCTAGTGTCATATCCGGAATCAACACAGGTGGTCTTCATATGCATGCTCTTAGGAATGTGGTAGTTGTAATATCTACTGTGATTCAGTTGTAAGATGTAATAAATATTGGTGTAAATATTTGAAATATGGAAGAAAATTGATTCCCTTAACAATCTTTCCTAATGCTAAAAAGAAAGATGAAAATGGACGCAAGTCATGGGCAACTGTAGTTAACATGGAATCATACCTTGACAATAGACAATAAAGATTTAAGATATATATCACTTTTAAGGTTAGGTGAAATAAAAATAATGGAGAATACTGGTAGAAAAAAAGGTATACCTAGCAAATCAGGATTTTGTCCATTTTGTAAGACTATCTTAGAAGATGAGTTATATTTAAATAGGTTGCGGCTAAACTATATGATACATATTGAATATGCAAATAACGATTGTCTAATATATCTTCTTCAAAATGCTAACCCTAAATTTATAGCTATTTATGCAAACTATGTTACTCATTACTGTCAATGTATATAATAATAGTAATAATAGCATATTTGTACCGCGCATATCTGGTATATCGCATGCTCAAAGTGCACGGTCACAATGTGATTGTTATTACCCCGGACAATGTATATGTATATGTTTTCAACGTAGATGCTGTGAATATATGTTATACATATATTGCTGTTGCGAACCTAAGCACCTTGTATGTATACATCTTCCATTCATATTGTATAGTATGACCAGAAATTATTGAGAATTTTAGGAATCTGTTTAATTGGATTTCTAGTATAAACAACCTTGACCAGCTATCAAGTGCTTGGTTTCATTCAAGAGAGACAACTCCGTTAATCCTTTTTCATTAGTTTGTGAAGAGTTATCCCCCTTTGTTTACTTGCTAGCAGACGACATTTTCAGTGATCCTCAGCATGGATGATTTAGAGAAGAGGAAGTTGATTTTAGAGTATTATAACAAGGACATCAGATCAGCTAAAGTGATTTCAAGTAGAACAGGCATCCCTTTGTCCACTGTTTATCGTGTTTTGAAAAATATTGCAAATGGATATGGCTTTGAGCACCAGGGAGGCCCAGGTAGGCCCAGAAAATTGACTGTCGATGACTGGAGGCGAAACCTGAACAAAAGGAGCGAAGATTGAACTGGTGCTTACAGCATAGAATTTTTTTAACTGGGACAATGTGATTTTCTCAGATGAAAGTTCTGTGTGGCTGTTTCCTAATACACTGAAATTTTGGACCAAACAAACTGAAAAACCAGCGCCCAAAGTACAGTCCGAAATTTATCGTGTGGGGTGGCATATCTGTGTTAGGGGCAACGCCCCTCTGTGTATTTGAAGGGAATATGAACAGTGAGCGTTACACAGATATTCTCGAGGGACATTTACTTCCATCTGCTCACGTGTTCTGTGGAAATCTTTGGATTTTCCAGCAGATCAACGACCCAAAACATCGTTCAAAGCATTCACAGGCCTGGTTTCGGACCCAAAATATGACATTATTAGATTGGCCAAGCTATAGCCCTGACCTAAATCCAATAGAAAATGTTTGGGGACTTATGAAGGAAAGTGTCAATAAGAAAAATCTGACAAATATTGCTAAAATGAAAGAAGAGGTGGTCCGATATTGGGACAGCATGGACGACGCCTTTCTAACTTCTTTGATAAGTAGTATACCCCGCCGCATTGAAGCCTGCATTGCTGCCCATGGTGACTTGACAAAATACTAACTGTTCACCTGTCTTTGAATCTGGAGTTATGTTCTGCTAATATTCACATTTAATACGTGAGTAATGAGTGAAAAAAATAAAAAAGTACAATCTTAAATTCTCAATAATTTCTGGTTGTACTGTACTTAGGCCTGTTGCCTTTATACTGAATACATCCTTCTTCTACTCTTAGGAATTGTATGGAACCGCTGTTCTGACAAAACTGAGCACAGCACGACAAGTATAGCAGCATACGTGCAGATCTAAGGCTGTTGTAAAACAACCCTGACCAGTCACACACAGATGCCGGTTGTTATCTTACACACGATGGCGCGCCTATCTTCATGTCCACGCATCCATCACATCCATGTTTCAATGTCCTCATCAAAAGCATTCCAGAAATAAGTCTATTATCTTTACACGTTTGATTATTTTCAGGGAAGTAGTGTGATATACACGTGTATTGATTAAGCAGACTGATACTGTTCATCGTTTAAAACGGTCAGCATTTATTCTTAAAGAGCCATTTTGCATGAACGTGGCCCACTATGCCATGCATACAACACTGGTTCATAGTGGCCCCGGGTATCGTATTAATGGCTCTCCATGGCGTTCTCGTGTCGGTTTCTTTTGGTAATTACAATATCATACACGTGTAGTCAAATCGGAAGTTGGTACTGATCGTTTTAAAGGTGAAATGATAACTGGTTATCCCTTTCAGTGATGTACTGTGTGTCTGTGGTGAGGTCCCAACAGGCCTTCTCTCAGGATGAATACAACCTCCGGATGATGAAGCTCGGGCCAGGAAGCAATTACAGCCATATTGTCCGACCCTCCAGGCAGGTCCAGACACAGATACGGTTCAACCTACTCACCATCAACGACCTGGTAAGATCCCACTCCATACACATGTGCATTTACGTTCATTTTATCATATTTAAGGTAGTGCGATGTAGTGATAGTAATCATCTATTCTTCCTCAGTATCATACCATTATTAAAACTATTTACATTCGTGAGACAATTCTCATGAATAAGTGTCATACAACATTTCATATTACCTTTGAAACAACAAGGCACTGTCCGGTTGAGGACGATGATTTAGAGATTACACTTGCGCTTTCCAACAAAATGCCAATTTCGCTCACGGGCCCAGCAGGTCATTTAGTGTTTGATCAAATGAGGGGTGATTTGACCGAAAGATATGGCACTCTGAAGGGGGCGTTAGATTTGCATAATTAAAATTGTATGAATTTTGAATTTAGAAATTTGCCAGAATTGGTAGGGGGAGCTGAGTTTTTATGTGTTTTTTTTCATGTTATGTGGTTTGTAGTTTATTTATTTAAATTTGTTTTTTGCCTTTTTATATTTGAACTTTTATGGGTTTGTTGTGTGGAATTATATGCGACCTAGGAGGCCAGTTTTGATTAGAAATATACCTACATGTATATAAATAGATATACAGTATATATAAGGCTTTGAAGGTTTGGGTGTTACTTGTAGGGCTTAGGTGTGTTTGTAGTGAGTGTTTTTTGGAGTAGATGATTTAGTTAATAATTTTAATTTTGGCATTTACTTTGCCACTTTTGGAAGGTTTTTTGTTTTGATCTCGTTTTTAGATAATGGTATATTTAAGTTAACCTCTGGGAGTTTGGCTGCTTGGTCGGCATGTTCGTTGCCAAACACACCGATAATAAAGACTCCTCTCTTGCAGAACACCAGAGGACAAACCATGACGACGACAGGATGGCTTACAGTTGTAAGTTGTTTCCGGTTTGTTATACAACTGGTTTGTTGGTCAGTTAAAGGACAATGCACAAGGCATTTCAAATTAGACTCAAACTTATTTCCAAATGATGTTGTGAGGGTCATGCATATGTTATGGCCAATTCAACTTAATAAAGACGTTTTAGGGACACAAAAGTCGACATAACTTCACTTGCTTTAGACTGGGATTTTAGCAACTCTCAGACTAATTAAGGGTCGAGTCGCTTGAAACCGTTCTTCCTTGGAACCGTCTAAAATATGTCCAGTGCGATATCAAGGAACCTGCCAACTGACGTCCCAACTAACACACAACGTCTTTGCAACGTTGTGGGAAGGTTGTAGATTGGTAACGTCATGACACAAAGTTGTGACAACGTTAGTATTACGTCATTTAATAACGTTATGTCACAACGTAATAGCAAGGTTGCAAATTTACGTTGAGGAAACGTTATGCTCTGGGCTCTTCACAATTTTATAACAACGTTTCTTAAAACTAGGGTGTCACGAGAGTGTTTTCTGTAAAACCATTTACTTTGAGATTCTTTCTTCACTATTCAGCTATGTACAGCTTCAAAAAACACACGACCAAAATAACATGCAAACAATTCTTGACGTATAAACACTGAAGTGAATTGCTGCTTTGTTTCTTATGTACTGGGAAAAAATTCCCCAACAATTAACGTTAATTAGAACGTTAATACAATGTAAAATACGTTAGCATCAAACAACGTTAATCTTATGGCGATGTAAAAATGATGTATCACAACGTCAGCCCATATCTATATTATTCAGTAATCCAGGGTGCGCTAAAGATTCCTAAAAGCGGGTATTTTCAATTTGATAGACTTACAGTGATTTTCCTATTTAACAGAATTTGAATGCATAAGTACGTTGTTTCTGTCGGAGGTCTACAAGATGGTGCGTAGATCAAATCAACATGACGCCCTATGACGTAAAACTGATCAAGTTTCATCAGTTCCTCAGAGATAGATGTATCAAGAACATGAAAGAAATGCTTTCCTGGACCATCAATAACTAGGGGGAATATTTACTGAAATACACATACACTTCTACATCTGCACTGAATTGTATTGCATCGGCGACCTGTCAATTTCGCACGTGAAACACAACGCGCTCTCAGCTTTGCTCTACAAAAGAAAAGAAAAGAAATTGAAATTGAAAAACGAAGAAAACAGTTTTGTCCCTTCGAATCATTTAGTTTCAATTTAAGACTTTGCAGAAAAACATAATTTGCCACACTGGCAATAATTTATAACACTCTAAAGCGTGGCTTCGTGGGGCAACAGTGTTCAAAGTTGTATCGAGTTGAAAATAAATTAGCGAAATGTCACTTGATGTGAGGGGGTCTAAAACCCAGCAGCAGAAACAATCTCAAGAAAGCTTCCAAGTGCTCATAGATACAGTTCATTTTAACGGTTGATAATGCTTACCCAATGCCACGGTTCGCTGAAAATCAACCAGTACCCGCCACGGGTATGCTACAAACAGGAATGGTGCAAAACGGAGTTATATATTTACATGTTCATCGAAACACAATATCATCTCTTTGGAGACGTTATCGAGAACAGTGCAAGACTCACGACTTTCTACTGAGCACGTAAGCAAGACAGACTTATTCCGTTGACAGAACTACGGAATCAATACAAACTTCAACATTTACAGCACGGACAATTCCTGGGTGGGCGTGGATGGGTGTAATGGTATTGGGTAATATCCCAAGTCATGGGAAGAAAACAAACCATAATTGTTAATGTCAGATTGAAATACATCGGTCAAGATCATCTTCTAACCTTTGTGCAATTACAAGGATATGACGTAACGTGTAGTTCAATGCACGCCCACATGTTGCACGTGTTGTAACAGACATTTGAGTATTGGTCGGCAGTTCCCCTGAACCTCGGCCCGATAGACCATGACTGAGATGAAAAGGTTCGACGCCACCCACAGGAAGAGAACCACTGTGTAATGGTAGTGGTTTTCTGTTGTGCCAATTGTTTGTTGACCTTAACGTTCGGTACAACATCACCCATATTACGGCACTGTGTAGCTGAGTTGTTACACCACCCGTCTTTCAGGGCACTCCAAATGCAGCTAGTATTTCTAAGAAATGGTAACATCACCTATCACATGTATGATCCCACCTGAAGAACAACGAGATGACGTCACGGGTGTTTTAGACCAGAATAGAAAACGGTAATAATTTAGAAAAAAATAATAAATCTGTTGACCACAATGTTGTGAAACTAACCAGATACAAATATACCAATTGACAAACCCGTAACAGTAATAGTAATAACAACAATAATAATGTGCATATTCTTAATGTGTCAACGGTCAACGTTCTTTCCCAGTTCCACTAGGAGTATTCGACAAAGGCTTCTTGTTACCATCTCACCCATTCACTGCTGGGTGAACAGAGGACCAGTTTGAACAAAGTCTCCTCCCTAGTATGTCACCACATGTGTTAAATGTTCTTCAGTGTGGAGCAGGCAGAAGTCACATACACTGTCACAGGCGTCAAGCTCCCTGACTCCGTCAACTTTCAAACTACACTACAATGTGATGTTCTTGCTTCAGAAATGGACAGATCCACGTCTGCAGTGGACACCGGCATCACATGGAAATGTCACGTACTTGTTTGACACAGAGAAGGTCATCTGGCGACCGGAAGTAGTCATTGACAACGCGTAAGGCAAACTCTGATTACTGCAGTTCTCTCTGTTGTTGAGGTCCATGTACCAGGGTACATTTTTGACATAATGAATATCATTCCATTCTTTGCGGCCCTATACATACAACTGTAACAACATAATGTGTGTATACAACGAGACCTTTATTGTGTAGTGTTAAATATGGTGCTATGACTGCAGTGCAAACGTAGAAGATACTTCACGACCTTGTAGAGGATATGTCTTCTTTGCCTAAATGATAATGACTTGTTTTTTTATTTTTAACATTCAAATATCTTTATTCAATTATCATCCAAACATTCAATAAAAAAACATCTTTCAATTAAAAGTTATTGGAGATTTGTTTTCATTTTATGTTACGTTTGCACAGTTTGATCAAGTTTAATTTTCCAGTTCTACGTGCTTGTTCCTGCGTCATACACCTGCTCCTGTCACTTTCAGAGTTAATGCAATCGGCGTCATAGAGGACGATGACCTTCTGATACGTGTCAAGCACACAGGGGAAGTGACATGGGAGCCGCCAGGGCTGTTCTCTACGTCCTGCGACATTGACGTCACGTACTACCCCTTTGACCGCCAGGCCTGCACTATAGAGCTGACGAGTTGGAGCTATAACATCCACGAAGTTAATCTCACACAATTGTCATCTGAAGTCTTCTCGGGCGACTTCAGCGAAAATGGAGAATGGGATCTCAAGGTAATCAGACTGAAACCCATAACAAAATACTTTACATCCGCTCATCTTGTTACGAATCGATAGAGAGAATGTTGAAAACTGGTCCCCCAAAGTAAAAGCGCTTTTGACCTTGCTTGTGTGAGTTTTTGTATTCATCGACATAGGCCATCAGAACCGCTGGGTGAAAGATACTGGTTGATTCTGTTTGCAAATTGACCCCAATAGCATGGCAACAAACGGTCGACTTACTTGACTTGGTTGAAGGCGAACCAACCCTCTCCGGTAGAGTGGATTGCTGCTCAGTGGGTTATTATGTAAGATGCTGTCATATGGTTTGAATATCGCTGAGTGGCCGTGAAATAACCCTCATACACACTCAGTCTTCTCTCTCGGTCTCTCACTGTCTACAACGTCTCTATCTGCCTGGCAATATCATTGTCTTTCGTTGTTTAACGGTTTTGTGAAGCTCTCGTAAAATATTTACATTCACCATCGCCGGAGTGTGGCCAGGCTGGTAGGTTTCACATTTTCACACTACCCAAGTCGAAACGTTTCTTCGAATTGTAGACACTGAATTTCCAATAACCACGATGTAAGATTCTCGTTATGTCCGCCATGTCGTTACCTCAGGTATACAAAGTGTATATGCAAATATCAATATAAATTTGTGTGCGCCCACAACTGACGTGAAGTGTCATATGTCGGGATTACAAGCAGCTGAAAGCTTACTTTCAATGTAATCTTTTGATTTATTTGATCTCTTATTTTGATCTCACACCGGCCGGGTCGTCGAGGTCGAGGTCAAGGTCGAATGGTACTGAGGACCGATTTCCCCCTTGCCGGACACCGACAAGTCATGGAAATTGTATACTCGTTTTGAGTGAGTGAGCGAGGGATGGAGTTGGGTTTCACGCCGATTTTAGCAATATTCCAGCAATATCATGGATGTGTCACTAGAAATAAGCTTCAAACATTGTATCCATGTCGGGAATCGAACTCGGGCCTTCGGCGTTACGAGCGAACGCTTAAACCACGAGGCTACCTCACCGCCCCTATACACGTTTTGAACACACACGTGAATGAATGCCATCTAATATGATAAGAATAGTTCGAATACGCTTGTCATCAATACCTTGTGCCAATAACGTTTTCCATGAACCTATGCGCCAAACATTGCCAATAGTATTCTGAAACTCAATGAATTTTTCCTCTCTTATTAAGGGGATCAATAATAGCATTTGAGGTAAAAATATCAGGTGCTGCAATTAGCTGGACGTAGCTTAGGTCGTTGCCCAGTAGTGGTCTCAAATCGAACTGCACCAAGGGCGTTGCCTAGAATCCAAGATTCCCCCGATTATGATCCCTGGTTAGTCAGCACAGTGGTAGATCTGACTGATTTACTGTAACAATAAGCTGACACCCAGTGATAGGGCTGTAATATGTGATCCACGGCCAGGTTTAATGCAATAGTGATTAATGTGTTTTGAAAACGACATATTAGAGTTAATCTTAAAAAAGTAATAAGAAAACATATGAAACAGTAATTTAGAAGATCAATGCTTCATCTTCTACTGGCGTCCTGTGCGTTGGAATCTCAGTTAGGATTGTTGCTCTGTACTCGGTATAACATTGAGTGAAGTTTAACGTCAACAACATATGAGTTTTATCACGTCGGCCGGTAGACCTTCGAGTCTGGACCGGACAAACCAGTGGTTGAAAATCTCAGCACTAATCAGACATGTCTCTGAACATGGCCACCCGATTCCCATTTGTCAGCTCTCTTTCACTGTTCAGGACATATTGGGAACCTAATCAAAACCGGAATCTCAACAGATAACCTCTTATCAAACACCATTTGGTACTTACAGTCTACCTCAGTGACCTCCAAGACCCTGGTAGAGGCTGAAGGGACGTTCTCCCAGCTGGACTTTACCCTCCATCTACAGCGGCGTGTGACCTACTACATCCTTAGCATCATCCTACCCATCGCCCTCACCTTCTATCCTGAGCGTCATCACCTTCACCCTGCCCTTCGAGTCGGGGGAGAAGGTGAGCTACGCCCTCACCGTCCTGCTGTCTTACGCCGTGCTGATGTTGTTGGTGTCAGAAAACATCCCACCCACCTCAATCACCGTCTCCGTCCTCGGTAAGTGTTGAACAGAGAGATGACTCGCAATAGGGCCTGTACGTCTCGCGAGTCGCTACTTCCGGTACTTAGCTGGTTCCCGGCTCCCTTTGAGTGTGACAACTTGCGATATGCAAGACTGGGCCCAGCTTACTTCCGGTACCAGATTTCCGGTGACAAGCACATATTCAAAAAACAGTTCTGATTCCAAATTGCGCGACCGTCAAATATGACTTTTCTAGACCGGACCAAGCGTACAACCATGCTTGGCTGTCACAGCTGTTGACAGTCGTAATGGTTGGCTAATTTTGGGATGGTTACATCGGAAATTTGTTATTATTTGTATATTTGTTACATTACCATGATGCCTGGTGTCACCCAACCTACTGTACCTCCATTACCACCTCCGTCCTCGGCAAGTGTTGGACAGAGAGATGCCACGCAATAGGCTTGATCACCACGTCACTACGTCACCATGATGCTTGATGTACCCAACCTGTTGTACCTCCATAACCACCGCCGTCACAGTATGATAATTCGAATCCTTATATTATTCAGTTAAAGGACGTACTTTAAAACAACCCTTATTTAACTTTTGGTTATTTCCTCATTATCAACCTCATGGTCTCCATAGCGCTTGTGCACTTGTCAGAATTCAGGATCGTAATATGTCATACAGGAATTCTTAATGTCATGTGTAGCATACCCGTCACTTTGCCAGGTAAGTATGACAGCAATGCAGCTATATTTGTTAAATTAACTCAAATAATTGTTGATTGACATATGGTGACACATCTCTTGTTTCACTTCTTTCAAGGTATATATTTGGCACTTATCTTGTTTGTTGGAGCAAGCACGACCGTCATCACCGTCATCAACATACACCTGTTTCACAAACGGTCCAAGCCACCCGTCTCCAAAACAGCAAGAGCTTTTTGTCTCCACCGTCCTCTTGAACATGGCCGGCTGGAAAACCCCGAGCAGCGCGTACAGAAAGCGAGCTCATCTTCAAAGGTGAAAATCGTTCCCTACGAGGACACAGAAATGAACCAAAAATCCGAGCAAGCGCCAGGCCGATAAACCGGGCACCGAAGCGTTCTCGAAGATGCATCATTCTATTCATGGCAAGAAATAGCCCTGATGTCGGACATCATGTGGTTTCGAGTGTATGCCGTGTTTGTGGTGCTTGTCACTATTGTGTTCATGATCTGCCTTCCCCTTGGGGGCCACCTAAACTATGTATGACTCAAGGACATGATGAAAGGTCTGATTTTTCGCCTGTCCATCCATTTGCCGTGAGAAAAGGATAGCTTTATTGCGATTCAAATTCATTTTAATGTTACCATACCATTTGTTATAATAGGTACTGAAAACCAAGCAAGCATGTATCTCTTTTGAAATAAAACACACATATCCCCATTCTTATTTTGCATTATAATTGTTTCAAGTGAACTTATCGAGTACTTATCTAGTTTTTCTCTCAGTCTCAGCTTACTTCATGTCCATGCGAACAATAATATCAACTGGGTAATTAAGGTTGAATAGGTTTAGACTCCCGATCATGTCCAAAACGTGCTCAGTGGCAGAAAGATGAGGACTTATGGCTCGCCATTGCACTGGTTTCGCTGCTGGTGGTTGTCAGGTATAATACCTACACGGTGGGCAGACCATCGTCACCGTCACTGTCCTGTGATCGCTCAGCACGATATGCATCACTATCGGCGTATGATGTCTCAGTAGTGCTGTCCTGTGATCGTTCAGTGGACTATATGCATCACTATCGGCGTATGATATCTCAGTAGTACTGTCCTGTGATCGTTCAGTGGACGATATGCATCACTATCGGCGTATGATGTCTCAGTAGTACTGTCCTGTGATCGTTCAGTGGACGATATGCATCACTCTCGGCGTATGATGTGTCAGTAGTACTGTCCTGTGACCGTTCAGTGGACGATATGCATCACTATCGGCGTATGATGTGTCAGTAGTACTGTCCTGTGATCGTTCAGTGGACGATATGCATCACTATCGGCGTATGATGTCTCAGTAGTACTGTCCTGTGATCGTTCAGTGGACGATATGCATCACTATCGGCGTATGATGTCTCAGTAGTACTGTCCTGTGATCGTTCAGCGGACGATATGCATCACTATCGGCGTATGATGTCTCAGTAGTACTGTCCTGTGATCGTTCAGTGGACGATATGCATCACTATCGGCGTATGATATCTCAGTAGTACTGTCCTGTGACCGTTCAGTGGACGATATGCATCACTATCGGCGTATGATGTGTCAGTAGTACTGTCCTGTGACCGTTCAGCGGACGATATGCATCACTATCGGCGTATGATGTCTCAGTAGTACTGTCCTGTGATCGTTCAGTGGACGATATGCATCACTATCGGCGTATGATGTCTCAGTAGTACTGTCCTGTGACCGTTCAGTGGACGATATGCATCACTATCTTTGTATGTTGTGTCGGTAGTACTGCCCTGTGATCGTTCAGTGGACGATATGCATCACTATCGGCGTATGATGTCTCAGTAGTACTGTCCTGTGATCGTTCAGCGGACGATATGCATCACTATCGGCGTATGATGTCTCAGTAGTACTGTCCTGTGATCGTTCAGCGGACGATATGCATCACTATCTTTGTATGTTGTGTCGGTAGTACTGCCCTGTGATCGTTCAGTGGACGATATGCATCACTATCGGCGTATGATGTCTCAGTAGTACTGTCCTGTGATCGTTCAGCACGATATGCATCACTATCGGCGTATGATGTCTCAGTAGTACTGTCCTGTGATCGTTCAGCGGACGATATGCATCACTATCGGCGTATGATGTCTCAGTAGTACTGTCCTGTGACCGTTCAGCGGACGATATGCATCACTCTCGGCGTATGATGTCTCAGTAGTACTGTCCTGTGACCGTTCAGTGGACGATATGCATCACTATCGGCGTATGATGTCTCAGTAGTACTGTCCTGTGATCGTTCAGCGGACGATATGCATCACTATCGGCGTATGATGTCTCAGTAGTACTGTCCTGTGACCGTTCAGCGGACGATATGCATCACTATCGGCGTATGATGTCTCAGTAGTACTGTCCTGTGACCGTTCAGTGCACGATATGCATCACTATCGGCGTATGATGTCTCAGTAGTACTGTCCTGTGACCGTTCAGCGGACGATATGCATCACTATCTTTGTATGTTGTGTCGGTAGTACTGCCCTGTGATCGTTCAGTGGTCGATATGCATCGTACTATCGGTGTATGCTGTCTCAGTAGTACTGTCCTGTGATCGGTCAGTGGACGATATGCATCACTATCGCCGTATGATGTCTCAGTAGTACAGTCCTGCGACCGTTCGGTGGACGATATGCATCACTATCTTTGTATGTTGTGTCAGTAGTACCGCCTGTGATCGTTCAGTGGTCGATATGCATCACTATCTTTGTATGTTGTGTCAGTAGTACTGCCCTATGATCGTTCAGTGGTCGATATGCATCGTACTATCGGTGTATGCTGTCTCAGTAGTAATATAAATTATTTTAACATATGTTGGCATAAAAGAATTCATCAATTTCGCACATAACTTCACGCATCACAGTGAGTCAAGTTTATTCTATAGATTGTAGTTTTGTTTTCAGGAACAGTTCAGGGCAGAACCCATAAACTGTCTTACTTTACTACCTGACGTCAGTCTTCTCATGTTATGTCATATAATTTTTTTAAATACTTGTATGTATATTCCTGTTAGCGTCTAAATATTCAGTCAAAAGATGGCAGCTATTCGAACATGTTGCACTATATTTATTTGAAACTTTCGCCAGCACAACAACACAATTTCTTTTGCATTTGTGTTTACAACGCCGAGATTGCTTTTACATTTTAAAATGCAGTATTACAAGTAAATCGCTTGTTGATCAGTTGTGGAGTCATGTATGCCTTGGGCCTGTGTCAGTCTTTTGTTTTGTCTGCTTGTGATGCGGATCTGTGTGGAAAGTAAGGTTTCACATATGAATACACAATGCCATTTATTAAGTGGTCAAATCTAACATACGTTATATACACAAAGAATGTAGTTAAGCACCCCCTGACATGTCTCAGGATTGAATGAGCCCCGATCTGAACCCTTTGGAGCATATTTGGGACATGATTGGTCGTCGTGTGCAACAAATGGATCCTCCTGCACAGAACCTGGACCAATTGGAAGCTGCTATACACGAGGAATGGCATGGACTGCCCTTTTAGAGGATCAGGATGCTGACAGGGGGCATGAGGAGGAGGGTGCTGACTCACACGGAGGTTACACTCGGTATTGACCTTGAATCGTGTATGACACGCAAACATGACATTTTGAAAATTCACATTCGCCAATAAATTGAATATTAAACATTCCAGGGCCATACTTGTATGGACATGGTTTTGCATTAAAATCAGTGTTTGTTTTTTTTTTAAATGAGCAATTATCATCATAAAATCAATATGGATTCCAATCATTTTGTGGTTTTGTATGTATCAAATGATCATACGGGTCAGCAAAACTCAATTTCTATCGTGGTCACCACGAGAGGTTTTATACAAGAGGTGCTTAATTAAGTTCTTTGTGTATATTTGGGACTACACTTTCTGAGTAAAGTACAGATTTTAGCACTATTGAGCAGACTAGGAGTCTAACGTGTGTGCTGGCGAATCCCGCATGAGACTCATCCCAACAAAGGTTCCAGAATCTCCAGGTTCCCATTGTCAATTGCTGTCAAAAACCACAATTCATGAATTTAAACATTAAAAGAGCCGGTTGCAGAAGCCATAAATTTATGTAATATTTCAGTAGAAATGGATTGTGATTATAATGCTTCAGGGGGAAAAAAGAATTATAAACATTGTTCCTGAATGTCCCAGCTATATAGACTTTGATAGATATATCAGAATGTGTTATGTGTGTCACATTAGTATCAATGCATACTACAATGCTCTGTTCATTCCCTTGTTCTCTTTAAGGAAACGTATCCCAGTAGCATTGTATTTACCGATATGACTGTAAGTTAATCAAGTGTCCTTAGATCAGCAAGTGTTTTTCTTATCTATGTGAGCAGTGATAGATATTAATCTTTCCGCACCCAAGTACACTGCTTTGTCCTTATCTGAATGGAATGTAGCATCTCTAAAAGGCAAAAACCCGACGCATTCGTCGAAATACAAATTATCTTCTTACAGGATGTTTTTCTTACTTGGCCTTCCATTCATGAAGGGCTGTTGAAGATCCACGTTAATTCACAACTATTAATGTGTGTTAATATCCGTGAACCAACACGTGAGAGCCTACAAATGTTATAACGCTAAAAAGACGGCAGATTCACTGAAGACAATATCTTCTTCCAATGGCTGGCCACAAGAACTGCCCCACAGTTCATAGATACAATTGAAATACATTCGTAGAGAATACCTCCACGCCAACCAGGTTCTAATCCGGCAACGCAACGATTTAACATCATTAAATGTGCACTAACAAACACATGATATCGGTGAAACTTAGTGCAAACACTGGTTCAGACACACTTGATTATATTCGTGACCAACTCGTGTTATTCCGGGACAAGCCGAATAGCGACTCGTGACCGTCTGGAAGGATTTCATATATTGGAACTACTTTAAACAGGAACGATAACTCTATTCTTGTTTGATTCCAATGGTACTTAATATCACCGAAGTAATCATACATTGTATTGCTGTTTATGTTTTTAAAGCATTAAACCTTTTTGATACAACTAAAAGAAGGAGAAAAACTTATTTGTTACAGACTTATTCTGACGTAATTACCAGATGTTCAATTTTCGAATTATATTTCTAAATAGGGTTTGATAATCACAAATGGGATTTGTTTATTTAATATGTAAATAACATTACGAAAGCTACATTAAATCCCAAAGCAGAAACTCAAAAATGACTTTAAAATATTTCTCAAACTGAACATTCGTGTAACCTTGCTGTCATACCCCAAGTTGAATTTTGAATGAATTCGCTGAAAAAATATATGAATGACCACAAAAATACAGTCAGACTAAAAATATTCCCAAAGATGTGAAATATATGCCCAATGTTAAAGATTAAAGTTGATTAGTTACCTGCAGATATATGTCTAATATTATTGTTTTGAAACTCGTAGCGATTTATAATTACAGTTCCTAAAATTGTTGGAAACGCACGTACAATCTACATAGCAAGCCCGCAAGATCGTCAGAAATACCCTCAGTTGGAAACATGAGAGCCGTAATGTCAACAAACGCACGTGCGTGTATTTGAATCTCTCACCGTCAATCGCATGATTCTTATCGAAAACTTCATACCAGGCAGCAAAATCCTGTTAGCTAAGTTCTTTGTACTTTCAATATGACGATAATATATTTTTCATGTTTTTTTAAACAATGACATGATGCCATAAACGATTTAAGTACTCGGGATTATTTTTACCAAAGCACCGCAGTCATTTACGCGCGTTCTGATTGGTTTGTCGTATTTTCGCACATAACAAGCATCGAGAGGGGGACAAGTCTTCTTGGAGGTCACGGCGGAAAGGGGCGAGTGGTGACGAATGATATCAACACCACATTCTGTGATGGGAAACAAGCAGAAACAATTCCACGACAAATCGCACCTAGTGAGAAAATCCAAACTTCTTGTACAGTGTCACAACAGGTGTCGAAAAGTGGATAGTCTATCTCAAGTCTATCAACAGTATAATTTTCCCTTCCTTAAGTTTCAGGATTGTACAGTCTCACTGGGCCTCCTTTGAAATGTAAATGGAGATACTTGTTTCGACAGCAGAATTGTAGTATATGTTACGAATGTCATGTTGAAATATTAACTATACAATGACTTCTTTCTTCTACCCATATGGTAGAAAAACAAAATCATATTAATGACACAACACAACTGTAAATAGTTTGTTTATTAAACATTCATGTTGCCAGTGCTATAACTACAAAGCGGTTTCATTAACATGCCTGAAAAACATTGTTAGAATCAGTAGCGACGGGTGGTGACATTCTCGAAGTATTGTTACTTCAAATGCAGCGGAGTGTAACCGATGGCCCCGCTGTTGGATAATAATCAACGTGAACACGATATTGGTTATCTATTCATTGTCCCGATCCGTTGAAAAGCATGCATTAGTGAGAGCTTTCGTGTCACATTACCCGTGGAGCTTGGGCACAGCGGTAGTGTTGTAGTTTGTTGTCTATCTGTTTCCTGGAAAACGGATGACCCAGTCATCGTCGAGCGAGCTGTCTAAGGGCTAGAGATCCAGAGTGACCAGGCAAGTGATCACCTGTGACCGGGTGTAAAAACCTTGGAGTCAACTTTGTGTGCAGACTCTTTCAGTGTTGTCACAACCCTTAGCGTACAGTACACAACCCTGTGAATCCATTTGTATATGGTATATGACCAGATGGTGGCCACATGAATACGCGCAAACACCTAGTTGCTGGTACAGCAACATGCAGTAAAACTTGAACAAAATCCTGTGACTATGTGTCCCAGTCCATGGGTGAATGGGTACCTCGTAAGAATGTGAAAGCTGCCATAACTCGGTGCGCGAAGTGGCTGCAAGAGATTGATAATACGATGTGTCGTTGAGACTGACATCTAAAGGTCGAGGGGGGAAACATACACGCGCCTTGACCATGTACTAGTTGTGTGGGTATGTGCGCTATATAAATATCCTATAATACTAATAAAATAATCTACGTCAGATCGGTGTGCTGAGTTCTATGGGCACACCAGAAACTCATGCCCGGAGGTTGGAATCCCGGCACCATACCCAGCAAAGTTAAAAATCTGAGACCAGCATAGCTTCGAGCTTTTGTTCGTAAGCATATTATTCCGCAAAGTATGCTGTAGGTGCCACTATCACAATTATCGAAAACACGACACCGCCACCAATGGCGATTTTAATCCAATTTTCCTTTATATTATCTATCCAACCACGCTCCAGTTGACAACAGTCGAACAGCACACGATGAAACATGCATTTGTTTTCCATATCATCGTTGAGAATGTGTCCATTTTTAATAAAAAGACGAAAGATGTCTTTGACGGTAGATTCCAAGTCTCTTGGAAGGTCGATGCTTACTTCAGAAGCCTTTCCAACTGATGCAATGATCAATATAGCCGAAGGCAAACCTGAGGGAGAAATATGATTATGTGATAGAAAATATATAAACATTTATAATCAATTATAGTTTTCTGGAAAAGGGGTCAATTTTATAAACTAACACAATCGTCATTCTAACAGGATCAAATTATGGTAGTCTTATATATTTATGTTGTTCAAATATATATAATAATTTGATATGGCATTGTTTGTTGTCGCATACTTTTGCGTTAGTGAAACAAATGTGGACAACTTAAAGCTGATGTATGGCGTTATTACAGCAAAGGCTGAGCGGAAGGAGAAATACCATGGTTCCGGCACTGTGAGACTTTTAAGAAAGGTCACATGCAGCGCAATAATATTCCAATTGTGTACTGCCAAACATATTTTACAGTAGTGAGCTGAATAGACTTAAGAATTACGAGTTGGTATGTGTGGCATATTTGGCTGTGCTCTAAGAGAGACATCCTCGATAATCTCCAGGGTATACGTTACGATAACTCTCCACTATACCCTGGATGCATCCACGGCTTAGGGCGATGATTTTATTACCTCCCTTGGCTGGCTCCGCATTCTCACAGTAGCCAATCAGCTAAGCCGCAGTTACAACCGAGCTTGCCAGTGTCAACAAGGATAGCGGTCGCAGTCGCGAAGGTTTGTTCGCAATGCCACTCATATTTTTGGGGAAATAATAAAGACAAATTGACAGATCTGAAACTTTAAAAAATACATGACAGAACTCCTTCTACTTCTTTCGGAGTACTTCTGCATCAATTGTGATGCCAAGTTTTAATGGTTAGATAATTTAAGAAGCGAAAGTCAGTTGTGATTGGTACGCTCAACTTCCCAGCGTAGGCACCTGATTGGATAAAAACCAGCCAATTGAGGTAATAAAATCACCGCCCTAAGCTGTGGGTGCATCCAGGGCATAGTGGAGAGTGATCGTAACGTATACCCTGGAGATTATCGAGGATGTTAGAGAGATAAAGTGCTATTCTATTGGGACAGCTTGGGACACTTCAGAGGACAAAGAGGCACCTCATCGCCCTTTGTTCACCACTGAACCTTTTAATCCCTCGAAACAAGCACCTCACAAGATCTGCCAACACCGCAGACAAGACGTAACTGATACTGGTATAGTCCTTTTGGCTCAAAAGCGGACCGATGGATTGCAATCTAACTCGAAAACTAATAAACATAAAATACTCAATGAATGAGTGGGTATGATGTTTTGATCATAATCAAAACATCATACCCACTCTATGAATTTTGTAGAATTTTTTGTCCTAAAAATAAAAAGGTTGTTTAACAATCTATCATTAAAATATTGACACAGTTCACTATTTGTTACGAGGAGGAGTGCAGAGAAAGGGACAGCCAGGTGTTCGAGAACGGATGGAGACGGCACAGCACAGGTTAATGAATAAATAACTTTGACTGTGAATGTGCTTCTCGAACACCTGGCTGTCCCTTTCTCTGCATTCCTCCCTCGTAACAAACAGTGAACTGTGTCAATATTTTAATGATAGTTTGTTAAACAACTTTATTATTTTTAGGACAAAACTTCTGCAAAAACCTCACAGAGTGGGTATGATGTTTTGATTATGATCAGCGTTTCATTGAGTATGTTATGTTTATTAGTTTTCGAGTTAGATTGCAATTCATATGTCCGCTTTTGAGCCAAACGGACTGTAGCAAGAGTGAGTGCAGCTTAATAAGGCGTGTTAGCTTGCGTAATACTGCTTTCTTTGTCAGGCTCTTTTGGTGATAAGAATAATGAGTTCACGTGGACGTGCAGCACATTGAATACTCGGATGATATACTCCAGTAGAAAAATCATATAACTATATAACTATATAACTATATAAGTATATATATATATATATATGTCTGCGGATCTAAGTCGACCATATCAGATTAATGTCTATTAATATATCGCTCATCTCCTACGTATATAAGAGATATTAAGTACTACGTAGGGGATAATTTGTCCTACGTAGGAGAAAATATGCCTTACATAGGAGATATTAAGTCCTACGTAGGAGATAGTGAGACCAAACATTTTTTTCACCGTGGCCCTACTACGCTTCCGTAGTACTAAACCCTAACTTGAAACTCTACATATTACTGTAAGAGACAGTTATCATGAACATAGAACCGTTCATAGAGAACCGTTCTCTGTCAAGTTTGTATAGGAGATGTTGCGCGTGTAAACGTATGAAGTAATATCCGTTAGATGTTCAACACGAATGGCGTTATGAATTAGCTTCACAATATCATCTGCGACTGAATATCTTCGATATTCACTGCTCGATCAAAGGTAACAGGAGTTTTTAAAACTCCCAGCGTTGTTGAGTGAGTGACTCAACATGGATTTATGCATAAACACCATACAGGGCATTGATTATATTCATGTTCCCAAAGGAAAGACCAGCACGAACAAACACAGGCGTTCGCTACACGCTCTCGCTTTATGAGATATACGACGACAGATGGTTGTTGTCACAACATGTACTCAGTGAGTGTTCAATAGCAGGTTTCTGTTTATCCACTATTATGTATCATTTAGCATGTGTTAAGTTGTAGAAACGCTACACTTCAAAGAGTAAATAAGCACAAGAACTTCCATTTGTTTTCCGTTGTCAGATCACATAATGCCAATGTCATCGCTGGGCGTGGGACGTGGAGTGACTGAAAAGCAAATCAGCTCGGAATACTTTCTGTGTTTCAAAGACAGCTATTTAACATTAATGGCTGGTGTAAATCACATACTGCCAATGTCATCGCTGGGCGTGGGACGTGAAGTGACTGAAAAGCAAATCAGCTCGGAACAGAAGCTGTGTTTCAAAGACAGGTATTTAACATGAAAGACTAGTGTAAATTTTGCAGTAATGACTTTTTAATAACGATCGAAATGGGTTGACCAATATGAATAATCTCTCCATATATGCCTATGAGTATGAAGTCAAGTACATGTAATGCCTTGCAAATGGTATTATTGATAAATATAACTGACAAACGTTCAGCCATTATTTGGGCTGTGGGGTAGTAAAGTGGTTAAAGCGCCTCACTCGTCACGCCGAAGACCCAGATTCAATTCCCAAATGGTTACTATGTGTGAAGCCCATTTTAGGTGCCACCCCCGTGATATTGCTGCAATATTGCTAAAGCGGTAAAACTAAACTGACCCACTCACTTCATTATAACCGACACTGTCCATGTATTTCACGCAGCCCCGACTATTTTGCCGTCGCCCATGTCCGTGTATGAACCATACAGAGACACATACAAATTGCATGTTACAATAATGTCAGTAAAAGCTGATATCATCTAAATGCGTTTTCATGCAAGATTAAAGAGTTACAATGCCTTTAAGGAGATATGCAAATAAACGATAAGAAGGAATCTCGTAGCATGCTGTTACCCTGTAATCAACGGTGAGCGAGTGAGTGTGGTTGCGCCGCTTTTGTAATATTCCAGCAATATCTCGAGGGTGGCCTCACACATTATGCAAATATGAGGGGAATTGAACCGGATCCACGAGCGAAGGCTTTAACCACTAGCCAAGCAAACCGACCCTCCATGATCAACCAGGACGTGACCAGAACATAATTTGGTAAACATCAAGCACATTCCTATGGTTGTTTTCATATATGGACACAGCAGATAATTTCATATATGCTTTCATTCGGAAAGTGAAGTATGTGTATATATAAAATTTTATTTTCTAGCATTGCCATTGAAAAACATAGTTTTTTTACTTCCTTTTTAAAACTGTTTCTGAAGAGAGAATACAATGCAACCATTCTGAATAACACATATAAGATTCGGATTTAAGATTCACAAATCGTAATCGAGACGGGAAGCTATACGAGGACCATATGAGAACACATAACTTGTCAGTTGACACGATTTATCATCAATGAAGATCTTACCGGACCCGAGCAGCGCAAGCTCGAAGCTGGTCTTGTATAAGAAAGTTGAGGCGTCATGGGTGACCAGCGGGGTCATGCATCCTCATTAAGATGGGGGCCGGGCCGCCGAGAAAGGTGGCCAACAGCACATCGATGAAGTGTGCGAGTCTACTAAACTCAAGGTGGTGATTAGTCTGAGTCAGGACAAATGAACACTATTACAGTCATAACTTGTTTGAAATACCCATAATGCCCTTGCACGATCTCATGAACAGTTCCTGTCGATAGTCATCATGACTCCATGCTTTACATATTTTAACATCAGTATAACTGTGCATAAAACTGTGTTGTTTACAGTGACATTGCGCTTTTGCAGAGATTCAAATGTGATGTAAATGAACAATTTATATGATTTAGATAAATATGATAATATGCGCTCATGAAGTTGTCAATGCCTCCCTTCACGTCTTCAGTCAGTGACACGCACTGCCAGATGTTAACGGTGAACGCGCTGCGAATGTTGTGAAGCACGTGCTCGTGAGTGTGTGGGATGCACGAGCAGTGTATCCGTGCTCTACATGCTATGTAACGGTTCTGTCTACTACAGACAGACAACACGTACTTATAATAGATCGTCCACTGTGAGCTTCCTCCGATGATAACGAGTCCCAGTGTACCAACTTGATTTTTATGCATGCTATGATTTTGCTTGCTTGGTTCCTCATTTCATTAAAATGCACATACGAATACACATTTGTTTGCATCTCTAACCAGGTGTAATCTTGAATACGAGTGGACGTTGCTTAGCATAGCATTGACTACATGCATAATACGTTGTGTAGTATATGTGCAACATATACAGTATTGCAGTATGCATATGACAGTAAGGGCTTGACAGAAGGGCAAATAATATCGGTCTGTGACTGTGATACAGACTGGGACAAGGTATGGAAAACCAACAATTTGGACAACAGACCATTGTTTGGGTCTTTTAATTGTAAATATGATTCAAATAGCTTAACCTAGATTTCGATATCCTTCGAATGTACATTTGGTTGAAACTGGAAAATATACATTTATCCCGAGACAAGAACGAATGTTTACATATAATTCAAAAGTATGACAGCACGAGTATCCATTTTGTCTTTTGTCTTCTACCCGTCCCTACTAGACGAACAACTGGTCTCTGAAATGAACATATTTTACAGAAAAAAATTCATAGTAAAAAAGAGAAATATAATAAAAAGGAGCCCTGAGACATTCTCCTGAAGCTGTGGAAATCTAGACTTGCCACATTTTCTAGACTTGCGTGGACTAGGATATATTTGCTTCAGGGTCTGTATGACAGACTACGTCCCTACATACGCTGAATCACAAGTGTCTCCAGGTCACGGAGAATCATTGGTGTAGGGGCTCGTATTGCAATTCTCGTGCGTTTGCATGTGTTGTTGACGCGGCATGGACGCCTTGTAACATCACTATTTGATTATGATTCACAAACACATGCTCATGATATGATCGGAATCATGCCACGGATTAGCAGATATTTATCATGAAAACAGGTTTTCATGTAGGTGGCTTGAAACTTGCTTTTACAAAGGCCAATAGATTCGATCACAATACTTTTCGTTTTACAACTTCTTTTCTCTTAACATGCTGACCTCAAAACTGATTTAAATTGTAATAGCTGATTAAAGAGTAAGACAATAAATAGTATGCCAAATTATCGTTACCATGACAACCCTGTGATATTTTTCACCTTATGTAAGAAAGTAATAAATACGATGCTAGGTATGGCAGTACTACTGCAGTTGATAGTGTCTGTCGTAAATATTAATAAGTTGCTTCAACGCCATCACTAATCACTGTGTATGTATACAATTATATGTGTGATGGAGGAGATCTTGCGTCGCTAGTTTTCTCAATAATCTGAATACATGTATGTAGCGTGAAACCGGCAGATACCTATAGAAGAAAGTGTTTGCCCTACCTGTAACAACGATGGCCCTTGTATATAGAAGGGATATAATATGGGGATGAATGGCATGTACTTTTATCTTGGCCCGTTTATGAAGATAAATACTGCGATCTTTCACAATAATCTCTCTGGCTATCAGATTGAGGGTACTTTTTAAACATAACTGGTATTTCAATTATTGTATTTATACAGTAACATTCTCCAAACGTTCTCCACATACGTCCGTCAGATACATCGCGCACTACCTCTTTCTCTTTTGATCTCTCAAACGACTGTTACACGTTCGGAGAATCCTGGTCAAAGTTGAAACGTCTTAAGACTATTCCTACTATTCTGTAACATGCACATTGTACCTAAAATGGGTAGAGCTTCCGTTCGGGGAATATCAGAAGGACAGCGATATACACTTGTCTCCAATGTTGTAGAAGACACTCCACTTACTTAGGAAAACAATAACCCAATGAGATATTGCATTCATGTTGGATTCAATTTTTTCGGCCCCTATCAGATGTGAACTTGAACATGCAAGGTCTGCGTCTATGTCAGACTAAAGGTCTACGAGTTGTTTAGCAGCACTGGGGCGTAATAGTCATATAGGCCTGCTCCAAACAACGGAATATATATCTTTTGAAGGACTTCTCCGACGGGTAAAGGTACAGCAATGCAACATCACGAAAAATCTTTTTTTTCACTATTTTTCATTTCATGTCTCACAGAATATATAATTTGATGGGCGAGAGTTTTTAATATCGTTCTAACTTAGTCGAACTAAGTCAAAATGAGCTGAAATTTGTGTCATGATGCTTATTAACATACACTCATTCATTTACAACCTCCAAAACATGAATTCTGAGCGAAATTAAACATTCTCGCCCATGGGCGAGCGAGTTTAAATCTAATCGCAATTTTTTTTCGCAATTTTTTCATCCTTGGCATATATTCATAACAACTGCATGTTTAATTTGGTCAAATCACTTGTCAGAAAATGCCCACAGTGCGGAGAGTTTCTGGACTTTTGTAAGTCCAGAATTCAATTGTGACGTGTTATATCGACTTTTACTGAAGTACTAAGCCTTCATTCAACATGTGGAAGCAATCACTTTTTTCATTCTGTTGAAATACTAAAAGCATACGCCGTCTACATATTTGACAGACTTGTAAAAATGATCTACGTCTTAATTTGTCAAAAATGAGTCCCTCTTCATCTTTAATGCGAGATGAAGACAGATATATGACGATGAAGGGGACATCCTCCCTCAACTTTGATCCTTTCGCTGTGTAACGTATCACATTTTGGAAGAATTCTTCTCGAATTGTGTCGTGTTCGCCCTCAGGGATGATGACAGTTTTCTCTCTCAGTGTTCTCTCTGAAAGATAAATGTCACTCTTTGTAGGTGACGTGTGGTGGATATTGTATTCTATATATAATACTTTCATTTCATCTTACTCTTATTTGAAAGTGAACTGTCGGGCATCAGTCCTTTGTAGGACAAATGTGAGTTGACTTGGACATGCAACTATAATCCCACAGCACAGATAGTGAGTGAGTTTAGGTTTACGCCACCTTTAGCAATATTCTAGCAATATCAGTGCGGGGGTCGACAGAAATGGGCTTCACACATAGTACCCATGTGGGGAATCGAACGTCTTCGACGTGACGAGCGAACGGTTTAACCACCAGGCTACCCCACTGCCCAGATAGCACAGATAGAAGAACTTGTTATTCAGCATCTAGCATGAACTGTGGTTGAAGTCAAGGACATATCATGCACTGTCATCACTGTAGAGGGTTTATGGTCAACAATACTAAACGTGTTCCGACTTACCCATGTCGCTCTGTCCATTCATGTCGATGCTATTGTATATCACTGGTCCGGTTGAAACCTTTGACATCCTGAAAACTACAACATTTTTATGTCAACATCGTTTATGTCTATGTCTGTTTTTGTATGTATGTATGTATGTATGTATGTATGTATGTATGTATGTATGTATGTATGTATGTATGTATGTATGTATGTATGTATGTATGTATGTATGTATGTATGTATGTATGTATGTATGTATGTATGTATGCATGCATGCATGCATGTGTATATGTATGCATGTATGTGTGTGCTTGTGTGTATGTATGTGTGCTTTCGTGTATGTATGTGTGCTTGTGTGTATGTATGTGTGCCTGTGTGTATGTATGTGTTCCTGTGTGTATGTATGTGTGCCTGTGTGTGTATATGTATGTATGCCTGTGTGTATGTATGTGTGCCTGTGTGTATGTATGTATGCCTGTGTGTATGCATGTGTGCCTGTGTGTGTATGTATGTGTGCCTGTGTGTATGTATGTGTGCCTGTGTGTATGTATGTGTTCCTGTGTGTATGTATGTGTGCCTGTGTGTGTATATGTATGTATGCCTGTGTGTATGTATGTGTGCCTGTGTGTATGTATGTATGCCTGTGTGTATGCATGTGTGACTGTGTGTGTATGTATGTGTGCCTGTGTGTATGTATGTGTGCCTGTGTGTATGTATGTGTTCCTGTGTGTATGTATGTGTGCCTGTGTGTGTATATGTATGTATGCCTGTGTGTATGTATGTGTGCCTGTGTGTATGTATGTATGCCTGTGTGTATGCATGTGTGCCTGTGTGTATGCATGTGTGCATACCCGCATGCCTGCCTGCGTGTATGTATGTACACATGCAAATCTTCCCATCAACTCAAAATACTGTCACCACACGAGTGTGATAGTTACGCCATGGTCAGATACACTACTGTTTTTCTTTCAGAAGACATGGGATCGAAATATTCCACAGAAAGCCAGCAATGTGTTGATGTCGGTGTAGGTGAGAGAGAGAGAAGTGGGGAGAGGGAGAGTGAATTTAAAAAGCTAATTTAGAGAACATGTTGAAAGACGTTCAGTATGAAAACTTACCTGTTTCCTTCTACCCTTGCTAAACATTGGTGTCCACGGCTCGTCAAAATAGCAACTGCGCATAAACAGGTCAGTAAAAGGTGTTGTCAGCCTCGGTTTAATGCATACGATATCTGCGCCTTTGAGGGTACCTGTTCCCAGCCACACAGCGCACACATCTCCCACGGCACAGACAGCTCGAAAGCTGTAAGTAAAAAGTATTAACGTTCTTTTTTAATCACACTCAGAAATAACATTATTATGAGTAGGTCGTCATATTTCGAATATATAAAATGTGTAAATTACAGAAAGTTGCTATGATACTTAGGCGATACTGTTTTGAAGTTAGAAAGCGGTAATACATGCAGACACTGATTCATATTAGTTTTGATCAATCCTGACTTGGAGGTGCTAAGCTTAAAATATCGCTACTGAATTGAATGACCCATGTGCGAAGTAATGAAGTAGTATTTATCTCTTTCCTTAATCTTTGGACTTTCTCCAAATAATGACATGCATTATAAATAACATTATTATTTGTTGAGGACATCAAATTTACAAATTGTTGTACAGGTTGACAATCTTTCTGTGTAAATTTTAAAAAGTATGTTTTCCTAAGTGAACTGTTACTATTACAGATAAACAATAAATGCTACTCATCTTCGATATATAATTCCTTATTCAATTTACAAAATGGAAAATACCTTTTAGAGTACAAAATGTTACAATATCTTCCAATTTCTACAGTCAAACCAAAATTACTATATCGAAATCTTGATTGGTGGATCTGAGTCTTAATGGAATATTACAGGTGAGACAAGATTCAACATTCAGTAATGACTTAAATTGTTTATAATGCATACACTTTGAGAAATTAGCAAAATCAACTGTTCTTGCGGAAGGTTACCACAAAGTGTCTGCTTAAACAAGGATATAAAATATTTTATATTTCCAGCTTCCTGCGATATCCATAAAAGTCCAAATCCACACCTAAATAATATGTTCTTTATGTGTGTGACCCAATTAGAAGTTTTTTCATTATTAAGTGATTTTAGCATGTCATAACACTGCAAAAGTAGTCTTGAGTGATCTAAATGAATAAGTCTACACCAATATATAATAGTTTTAGTCAAATATACAGTCATAAGTGGGATTCACAATCCCCTAACACCTTACAATTTGTTGACTTTCGACCAACCTGTAAATACCATGTACAAAGTTTAACTTGTATCTTCTCAACTTCTATACAATAATTACCCCCCCCATAACTCAGATCCATAAGTTAAAATAGGCATTTGGAAAAAAAACATAATTTTAGTCTTATGAGTATTGACATCTATACCAATTAAAGTACAAAACTGTTCCAAAGCATCTACCTTTTTTTCTGAAGCAACATTGGAAACATCATCCACAAATATTAAAGCAAATACGTTGTAAAAAACAGGACAAATATGGACATCCTGACCACCATGTTTCCATAGTCATTCAAAACTGATAAATGAAAATGATGAATATTTGCAGACTTAAAATACGGCTCTGACGTGTGCCAATCTGGCAAGAGAAATAACCTGACAAACCTTTGTTTGTCGTAACACAAGCACTAAGTTTGGAATACATAGATATAACAATGTCAAGAAATGTACCTTTAATACCAACGTCACTGAGACCTTTGAAAAGGACATCAAGCTTTATAGAATCAAATCCATAGAGAAATCAACAGACAGTAAAATCTTCCCTTTTCCGTATAAGTATAGTTATGTTTAATGGCCTGTAATGAAAATATGTGGCTGAGTAACTGGCTCTAAAGCCAGCCTGTACTTCAGCAATGATATTATGGGTGCCACAGCATTTTTGAAGTCTTGAAATTAAAACTGAGGAGTAAATTTTACATAAAACATTAATCAATGAGATACCACGATAAGTATTTGGACTATCTCTGTCACCCGACTTAAAAAGAGGGCACACGATACTCTTATCCCATTCCAGAGGAAATACACCACTGTCAAAAGTGTTATGAAAAAGACCTGACAGCACTGAAGCAATATGTAACGTAGCAGACTTAATGAATTCTGCAGCAATACCATCTGGACCAGGGGACTTGTTTCTACCCAACTTATCTATATGAAAAAATATTTCCTCATTAGCAAATACCATATCTAAATCAGGTGTTGATCTATCTCTTACAAACAAAACATGTGATCTATTATCCATATAAATACAGAATCAATGAGTATATCATTGCCACTGTCATGTGACAATAAACAAACAAACAACTGCTTAATCCAGGCTTGATCAGATATTATATTTGATAAGCCATTAGACTATGCAACTTGCTTGACAATTTTCCAAGAAGACTTATTAAGAAGGGTTATTTCTAGCTTCAAACAACTTTATTCTATTTTCCTCTTGATACAGCTGTTTCTTCACAGAAAATATCCTTTTAAAGTCTAATCCCATGATCTCTATGAGCTCTTAAAGCTACGTATTTATCCCTTTTAATGTGTTCTAAGTGCTCTGTGTCCCACCATGGTGGTTGGCACAGCACTTTTTACAGAACTTGTATAAACTCTCCTGGCATGATCAGGTTCTGACTGATATAACCCAGTAATACAAGAAATTGCATCATCTACATTTAAACTGACAGCATTATACAAAACATCATAAGTATCTGACAACATCGACTATTTTTTTTTGTAATAAACATTCACACTGAATTTCACTGCAAACATATTTAACCCATTGGTCATGATTCAGATCTAATGTATCAGAGTTTACAGAAGGAATAATAAGGGACAATACCATAGAAAGTGATTGGACTCATCACCCACTGATACACCAAAACTGGATATAGGGCAGCATTTATATTTTCTGTGTCTCTCATCGCCCGACCGACCCTTCTAATTTTATTGCCGACACCCACCAAAAAACATTTTTTTCATTCCAACGCCGCCGACTCGAACATAAAACGTACCATCCTCGTCATATAAAATGTTTATCTATTAATCAGTCGCAGCCACAAGTCCAAAGAACGCGAGAAATTGTAATAAGAATTACAATAAATGAGAATCAAGAACATTATTCAGATTATTTTGTATTTATTAAGTTTGGGTTTTTCCCCCGACCGACCGACCCATGTTCAGAATGTGGTGGCTACGTGAAACACATAAACATTATGACCATTTAAGGAAATATTGCTGTGGACGCAACCACATAATCAACCAAACTCTGACCATTACGCGTAAAGAATGTAACTTATCTATACTTATCATCATGTAATCTACCATTAAGTGTATGGATTCCGTACGGACAACATAGTACAGACAACTCTTTCAATAAGTGTGTTGCACAATATTATCTTTACTGCGTCTTGGCAAACGAAAGTAATCTGACTGATAATCAGTGTCATTGTTAACATTGTCAGCAATAAAGTTAATGTTATCATCAGGGATATAGTCCATTCTTAGTTCTGGCTTCTGAGGTCACCAGCAAGAAATAACTCCTTAGATGGGTGATCAAACATAATAACATTCAAATAGTGTTCTCATATTGACATACCATCATCATCGGTGCTGTCATAGATGGGAGATCCTCCATGTGACAAATATGGGAAAACCAGCATTATATCAAAGTTCCAACCAAAACGTGTAGTCTTAAACAGCAGGACTACAATTTTTTCAAAAGTATTTTACAGTCTATGTACGTACCCATGGCCAGTCCAAACTTCCCGTAAGAGACGAGTAACACAGTCACCGAAACGGCCTAGTGTTTTGGTTTTCTTCCTAACAAAGGCAAATATTCTGAAAACCTATCTAACGTGCGAAAAAATGATTCACAAAACCCCACTAAATCTAACCTATGTTAAATGTAAGATGTTTTGCCTTTTCAAGCAGGAACAACTATTTCCGATTACAACGCCTAACTACATGTCGTCATTAGTGTGCAAACACGACAACGCCTAACTACATCTGACTACATGTTGTTACTAGCGTGCAACCACGGAAAACGCCTAAATACATCTGAGTACGTCATCATTAGTCTGCAACCACGACAAC